CCATCTTCAACAAACTATTTTGTCAGTGACTATTCATTTCATCTTGCATCACTAATGAATGCACTGAAAACTGGTTTTCATACTCATTCTGTGGATTTATCATCATTAATCTTCTAACATGAGTACAGTGCACCTCGCCACCTGATGTCTTTAATAGCAAAGAGAAATGGAACAATAATCCATCAATCAAAAACATTCTCTGGACAATTGCTACACGCCTATACGGTGCTGGAAAATAGGAAGGCACAAAAGTAGGTTACACTCCGTTGTAGTTGGGAATCAGGCATTTAGTTTAGCAACTGACAGAAGCTCAGTAATAAGAAACTATAAATGCTAGATTATAGCCGTAGCTTTAAATAACAGGAAAAACAGCTTATGACTGGGGAGAAAAGTAAATTCAGGTATATTTCAGTAAAACGCTTAGATAAAATGTCGTCATTTAGACAAGGAAAGAATGAGTAAACACAGGCAAAGAACTCAGGGTCTTCAGGCAGCTTAGGGAAGGTACCTTCTTACTGTGCAGTTATGAAAGATCATTTGTGCTGGCAAGATATGGCCGCTGAACTCATTTATTAACTTCTGAATTTAAAACATTGATGCTGAGTTTCTGTAGTACTTTGTCTAATTACTAAGAGCAGCATAGAAGTGAATCCTTCAGGAGCACACACAGAACTGTACAGGCAGAGGCATCGAGAAACTTGTTATAGGCAGACTATAACAGCGGACAACATCAGGCTTCTAAAAGTGTCAACTAGACATAGGATTATTAAATTATTACTTAAATAATTTTTGGTAAGGAGCTTTATTTACTTTACAAACTTTACTGTATTAGTTTCAAAATACACGTTATCTTACAGTTTTTCCCATAAACAGTTGCCAAGTTTAGAAGATTGGTGACGGTATCAGGTAGGATAAAAGGTTGAAATTCAGGATGATCCTATTGTTTCAAGTGACTGCTGTAAATATTTTGGAAATATTTATTATTATATATTTATTCAAGTTCTGCTGCAAATATTTTGGAAAGGACAGAGTTTGAACATCTTAGCCATGATTTTAAGCCATCTTTACACTTTATTCCAACCGACTTTAATCATTCTTCCACCAAACTATTTTTTGGTCCCAGAACTTTACCTGCTCTTTTTTTCTTTTTATAATAAAATGAAGTCTTTTTTGTTTTTCTATATTTTTTAAGAAATATTTTTTTAATTTTATTTATGTGTATGAATGTATTGCTTTCATGTGTGTGCCTGCAGAAGACAGAAGAGACCTTTGGATCCCCCTGGAACTGGAGTTACAGATGGCTGTTAGCCACCATGTGGGTGCTAGATTCGAACTCCAGTCTTCTACAACAGTATCCAGTGCTCTTAACTGCTGCACGCTGTTTTTCTATTTTTATTTTTATTTACATGCATGAGTGTTTTGCCTGCATGCATGTAAGTGTACCATGTGTGTACAATGCCTGTAGAGACCAGAAGAGGGCATCATATCCCCTGGACTAGAGTTACAGATAGTTGTTAGCCACTGTTGTGGGTGCTGGGAACTGAACCCAGGTCCTCTGCAAGAGCAGCCAGTGCTCATAATTGCTGAGCCACTTCTCTCCACCCCATCTGCTCTTTTCTTAGCATTACTTTGTAATTTGTCAGTTTGCACATAAATGTTTAAATGTCTCCATCAGTGATACACTCCCTCTTTTAAGTATATCGCTCCTAATTTCCTTTCCTCACATTCCTTTCCTTTCCTCACATCTCTGTGACTCAGCTGGAATCTCTGTATGCTTTGAATTTTGCATTCTTCACTACACAGCTGATATGCATAGTACTCATATTGAACTTAATATAAAATGCCTTCGATTTAGGCAATTGCATTTCTTTACATATCCTCACAGTTTTCAAGTAGTTTGAGTGCAGAATTCATTGGCTATGTCCAGAAGTAAGTATATGTTGAGTAAGAGTTTTGAGAGAATGAAAAAAAAAATCAATCAAAATGGACATTTGAAGAATATTAGTAATGAAGAAATACTTGAATGCCCACCAGGTAGTCCATTTGTCTGGCAGTCTGAGGAGGTCAAATGTCCATGTTATTTGAAAATGGAGATGAGATATCCGAAGCTGTGGCAGTATCCAACCAGACTGCTAACTTCTAGACTTACAGGAATGTTAATTCAGAGAGAGAGGGATAAATAAAACTTGCAAAGAGCATGATGTCATCTCTTGTCTGAGCCAAGGAGACAAGAGTACCAGCAGCAGAGCAGAGTGGGAATTGATGAGGTGCAGGCAGAAAAAGTTCATTTTAGATGTGTTTGCGTGAGTGTGCATGCAGAGCTGAGTTTGTCACACCTCAGGGAAAGTCCTCATTTAGCTGAACCAGCTCCTTTGTTACAGTGTACTCTCCATTCCCTTGGACAAGGGACTGCTTTTCCTTTCCATGCAAAGGTATTTATAGCATGATGAAGTAGCCAACATGCACAACAACTGTTGAGAATTAGGAGTATCAGATTTCTACAGGGAATTCATCTCCACACCAAGCAGATTGGAATCATTCACAGTAGCCACCCCTGATTTCAGTTCTTTAACTGAGTAGGAAAAGCAAGAAGATGCCTTCATTTTTCAACTCCAAATTGCTTGTCCTTGGCTGACTTTATAACTCCAAGTTTTAGTTGTTTAAAGCTCACATTTCATTGTCTTTTAAACTTGAAATGTTCCATCAGTCTGAATAAATCTGAAGTCTCATTCCTGCCAGCATTACTTAAGGCAAAATATTGAATCTCTCTGGGCTTTGATGAACTCACAACTAATGGAGACAGTTAATAATACTTACTTTATGCATGTTACTGAAGGCTCAGCAGGAGGCATGACTAAAGTGCGGGTGTGTGTGTGGTGGGGGGGAGGGGGTTTCCTTCCCTAACCACCCATACAAGCAAGGAAATTCTAAGAGGCAGATGAAATGACAGTTAACGTTCTAAGCAAATCATTAATTTGTACTATACTTTTTCTCTTAGAAAACACCAGATGCATAAAATATATTTTTACGTTTTCTAAGATCAAGAGAAAAAGGTTTTCTGACATAACTATTTTTTCTTTTTTTTCATATAATTACATTTAATCCAAGGAAAAAATGCTGTCCTTTGATTGCAAGAGGCCCATTCTGCATCCAAAGCCTTCACAAGGATTTTCAGCATAGTCTTTTTTTTAAAAAAATTTTAATTTTTATATTATGTGCATGAATGTTTTGCCTGCATGTACACCCATGTGTGCAAAGCCCAATAAGGCCAGACGACAGCATCAGATCCCCTGGAACCAGAGTTATAGATGGTTATTAGCTGCCATGTGGGTGCTGGGAACTGAACCTGGGTCTTCTGCAAGAGCAGTCAGTGCTCTTAACCACTGAACCATCTCTCTAGTCTTTTGTAGACAGTCTTTCATTCTCCCTTTACTAGCGGATATTAGTCTCTTTATATTCCAAAGACAGTATTTTGGAGATAGAAATTTGCTTTTATGATGCCTCTGAAATGCATAGATTGCCTCAGTTGTCTTCATCAATTGTATTTTGTTATGTGAGGTGTGTACTTATCAACTCTGAACACTATGCTGACATTTATTCATAGTTGTTATTAGGACAATAGTCTCTCTTATCCTGTCTCATGATTTCTGGTTTTGGTCGACTGCTGTCTTGGTTACTAGTTGTCAACTGACGTCTGGAAAGTAATGGGAAATTCCTGAAATAAAACCATCACAAATTTTAAATTGCACATCGTTCTGAGTAATGTGAGGAAATCTTGCTCATTTTGCTCTGTTTCCCTGGGAGCATGGCTCCTCTCCTGTCCAGCATATCCACACAGTTCATGTTGTCCCTCTTAGTCATATGAATGCGATCTTGGTTATCAAATCCACTGTCCAGCATCACCATGCCTATGCTCAGATAATTCTGATGTAGGATCCTAGTGCTGCTCCCCAGTGCCCACATCCTTCATCATATCATGTGGGCAGTATCACTGCAGGAGTGGTACTGAAGAAGAAAGGGGTCACAGCACAGCACGATGTCTTCAGTCAAAGAACCACATTCACACAGTTTTAATAATTACCACTGTTTCATTATTAGTCATTATTTCTCATCTCTTACTATGACTGATTTACCAGTTAAACTTCACCACAGGTGTATGTACACGGGAAAACATGTTCATAGAACTCGGCACTTCTAGGCATCCACCGGAGTCTCAGGACGTGTTCCTGGTTGATAGAGTAATCTACTGTTTTTAAAACATACTTTGTGTTTTCAGGGATAGCAACAGTGATAATCAAGGAGCCACATGTTGTCATTGTAAAGCAATTTTGCACACACAGAGATACACACAGTGGGGTCAGTGTTTTAGAAAAGTAGCAAGCTCTAAACCCCACCCCCCATTTATAGATGATCTAATTACTTTATAATAAAATATCCATAATTAAAATGAACATTTACTGGGTTCCACTGCATAAAAATCACAAGAAAAATTAACCATAAATGCTACTGGTTAGAAAATTTCTCAGAATAACTCAATAGGAGCCCTGAAATTCCTTACCTCAGGGGTGACAATTATTCTAGAATACAGCTCAGTGAGAAGTACACACCCCTCTTACGATCCTAGGCACTTGTGGAAATGCCAGACATAAAAGTTCCATTTATACGAGCTCAAATGAACAGTGTAAATTTTCTGTTTGCAGGTTAGGTGGATTGCGAACTGCTAGATGACCTCTGGGTTTTGTGCTTGTGTGTCTGTGATGTGCATTTTGAATGGATGCTTGCTATTGATTGCTTAACTAACTGAAACTGGAAAACTGCAAGTCGCAGTGATCAATATTTCAAGGAAAAGAATTAAAGAACTGATGTGACCTCAAATTCTGTCAAGCCCTTTTCAAGCACCAATCCCCGTCTTCGCCCTCAATGTTTCTCTCTGAGACTCGTTCTGTGTTCTCACCTTTCTGAACTCACACCCCAGCTTTACACACACGATCCTTCCTTACCGGGATGAAGACGTAGGCTCAGTGGTTTGTCTTTGCACACGAGCATGTTTGATTAAGTGTTCTTTTAAAGCAGTTTGTACTTCTGTGGGGATATCGGGGGAAGTGTGGCTGATTTTTATTGCGGGCTCAATAGTTTTGGGTGCCGCTTTTCCATTTTCTTCAACTTCTTTCTTCTCTTCAGTATCAAAAACTTCAGTTGGAGCACTTGACATGCTTTGTGGAAGGGGACTGACATGGGGAGCCACAAGTTTGCTCTTCCAGCATGGCCAGCACAACTTCCAGAAGACAAAAAGTGAGACAACCAGCAAGGCCAGGCCGCAGAAGCTGACAATAACTGCTAACAGGCTGACAGAGATATCTAGGGAAAAATCACAACAAAAACAAATACTAATGTCATACAAAGAGAAATGATGGCAGAAATGATAAGAGTAGATATTCGGAAAGTTTTATCCCAGGAAAACTTGTCAGTTGGATGCAGAAAACACAAGACACATGTGTATGGTATCTAAGCTCACCACAAGGGACTCAAGAGTTTGCAAGCCATGATTGTTACCCTGCACGGTCCCTGCTACCAAGCCAGAAAGTTCAGCTCTGAAGCTGTACATGAGAAAGAATGCTGTTTGCTTCATCTTTCCTCTGATTATCACCCTTCCCTTGTCTGGGCAGAGCACAGCTTTAAATGCTTGTGTGGTCTTTCTGTGCTGTGAGAATAACAGAGTGCTATGGGGACATTCTTAGTTATGTTTTCAAACTCCATTTTCTAATAATTTTGTATGTATGCCCTTTTTAAGTCCTGATTTAATTAATGAATTCTGCTATGATCTGAATATTTGTGTTCTAAAATTCCTATGTTGAAGCCCTATCTCCCAAGGAAATAGGATGTAATGGTTAACACACGATTAGGTTGCCTGTATTTACTACCACCTAGGAGATGGTAAGGCATACATACCTCAGGGCATGACGGTAACTACAGAGTTTCCAGACAGGACTGAGGGAAAGAGACCTGCCTTGAATGTAGATGCCATTAACCCACTGGCTAGGGGCCTAGCTGAATAAAAGGGAAAGAAAGAGAAATCAACTGGGGCCTGGAATTCCCTTCTCTGTTTTCTGCTGCACCATGATGAACTGAACCCCACGTACCGTCCTCTCTTGAAGTTGTTCTTGCAGAAATCATGTTGACAGCAATGTAAAAGTGCTGAACACACAGAAGACATAACCTCTAACAAGTGACTCGGTCATGGAGATGGAGTCTTCCTGATTGCCATCATAGTGGTCTTTAAGACAGGTCCAAAGGAGCCCTTCAATCCTTCGACCACATGAGACCACAAGTGACCCAACGAGCCAGGAAGAAGGCTCAACTACAGTTTAGAGTATCCTCTCCAATGCATACAGTAGAGCTTTAGTCAATCAATGATGGTGTTAGGAGACAGGAGCTTGTGGAAAGTGTTTGTGGGAAGGCAGAGCCCTCAGGAGTAGTCCTACCACGGTACATGGGCTCCAGCCCTTCGGGGATTGGACTAGTGCATGAGAGTTGACTGTTATAAAACAAGGCTCCCCTTGTGGTTTGCCTCTTCAAATTTCTGTCATGAGTTGAAGCAACAAAAAGTTCTTGCCAGATGGACTTACTAGTCTCCAGAATGGTGAGTCACAGTGAACCTCTCACCTTCATAAATTACTCCACCTCAGGTGTTTGGTTATGGTAACAGAAAACAAAAACAGGCTCTCACTAGGCCCTAAATCTGGAACTTCCTTTCCCATCCTTCAGACTATGAGATATAAATTTCTGTTGTTTATATGCTACCTAGTTTATATTTTGCCATATCAATCTGAATATATTAAGACAAATTGTTATCCAGATTTTTAAAATATTCTTATTAACATATTAACATGTTGTGAAATGTTTTAAAGAAATAGTTAAAAAGTTAAGACTGAATCAAGAAGCAAATGTAGGAAGAGCAATAAATCTTCCTTTAGAAGAATTCTAAACAATTTAAGTGTATGGTGTCTAGGAGCGAAGGCATGAGCACTCATGTCATAAGTGTGGGCTGCACACAGGCACAGTGACTTTTTCTCAGAGAGTACTACTGACAAAGAAGGCAATAAAGGTCAACAGTGACAGTGATGGCCTGTGGTCACAGGAGGCACCCTTGATACAATGCTATGAAAACAGCACTTTACTTCTGTGGTCTTCGTGTCCCAGACCCACAGCCTGAGTCTAATTATGATTTGAAAAAAAAAATCAGGCATGTTCCAAGAAAGAGACACTCTAAAAATACCTGACCAGTATGCCTCAAGTTCACCAAGGTCACCAAAAGTTTTGAGAGACTGTCCCAGTCAAGGAGCATCTAAGGAGACTTAACCACTAAACGTAGTATGTGGTCTTAGCTGGGATCCTGGAACAGAAAAAGGTAATTAGCTAAGGGCTGGGGAATTTAAATAAAGGTATGGACTTGAGTTAATGTACCAATGCCAATATATGAATTTTAACAAATGCACAATTTGGATACAAGATGTAAGTATTAGGAGAACTGAGAATTAAGTATGTTGGAAACTTATCTTACTAATTTTTTGTAGGTCTTTGAAAAAGTAAAGTCTAACCCAGTAACAATTATCTTCCATTACCCATTTCCATCCCTCTAAAATGACCAAAGTTAGGCTCATGGCATTACAGCATTATAAAAATTTGAAAGCTAACTAGATTCTTAATAAAGGACAATTTTTCTAGATTTGATTAACCTTATACTTTTCTATTACAAATTTGTTTAGCCTCAATATCAAATATAAACCCAATTTCCTTCATTTGTTGTAAGTAAAAATGTTAGGAATATGTCATAGACTGAATTGTGTCTGTCTCCTGTCCTATCCTATCTAAATTTACATTTGGAAGTATAAACAGTATTTCAGAATATAACTATATTTAGAAAATAACTTTTAGCAATTAAAGTGAAAAATTATATGATATGGTCTTAATCCTTGATACTCATGGCTTATATTAAGAGAGGAGGCACATAGAGGAATAACCACACAAAGATTCAGGGAAAATAATGGCTGGACAAGCCAAGGAGAACACCCTCAGAGTTCGACCCTACCAACACCGTGACCTCACACTCCAGACACGGGGACTGTTAGGAAGCAAGTTCCTGCTCTGAAGCCATTCACTCTGGGATATTTTCTTATGGTAATCCCCATATACAAATATTGAATAATCCCAATTTCCTTTAGATACCATTGTAGACATAGCATGTCACAATTCCTTGGAATTAAGCATTGATACTAACTGAATATGTCTGGCTAAGCTTAGCACCTATAGAACCA